ACAAGGACTTCCACACGGGCCACCGCAGATCGCAACCTGGTGGTAGTTGCTCTTGAGGTATGATGAAACCAGGTGGTGTGGGGTTTTCCGTTTCCACAATGCACACCTAGTGACAGTAGGACTCGCAGTACCACTCGCAGGTTTTGTGTGCCTGTAACTTCATTACCACCCAAACCCTTCCAAACTGGAACGCAGTAATGTGGCAGTACTTAAATTTGCTACGGCATACTGTAATTGGACGTGACCGTCGACTAGATTATAGAGACTTAAGCGTATTTGGCAATATCCATTTGGGTAATAATAAAATGATATTGTAAATGAATATTGTTTCGAAATTTTTAAATATTGATTGAAGTTACATTTATTTATTTTTCTATATACTTGCAAACATTACAGCTTTTAAATTTGATCTGCAATCCTCAATCACAAACTTATGTTACCAATTACAAAGTCTGTCAAATTACAATTCATTTATAACATATATGTTTGTTTATTTATTTATGTCAACATACCAAATAATGAGAATCTCAAGCGTATTTAAATCTTTATTATACAAAACTACAATATCATTTTAATTCCATTTCAAATAAGTCATTTCATAATGTTGAGAGCGATTTAAGAAACAATCTTTCAAATCGACTTTATAACTCAAAAACAAAGCTAGTAATATGCTCATTACGTACCGCATATTTGGACAAAACAAATCGCTAGTAAATATTCTGGTATTTACACTATTTACTCGAAGTGACAAACTGACTAAAAATTACCAAATCGGCCTTCGCTCGCAAGAACAACTCAAACAAAACAATTTGCAAACATGACTGGTCAAATATTTTCAACAAATAGGAAACCCTTGGTAACCGCTCGTTTGACAATGTTATGCTAAGTGATTTTGCTTCAATTAACTGTTTAACGTCCTTGTTTCTTACAGAAATTCTTTACGTTAATGTCTGTAACAAATATGCCCAAAATAAACATTGTGCGTTAACAATGGTGTTGAGAACTTGAAAACTTTGTCATGAAATTAAAAGATACAGAATGAAGGAATAAGATAACTGCCTCCATTGCCAAACGGTTACTATGCTGGACTGCCACGTAGAGGACCTGGGCTCGATTCCAGGCCGGGAGAAATAGATGTATGGCCTAGATTTATTTCTCTCGTGAGTTTGGGTGTAATGTGTGTGTCTATGTCACGCGCGACCAAGGGTTTCCCTAGTGCGCGACTTTTTTTTTATAAAGTGTCAGTGCGCATTTGACCTCCATCTCACCTGATGGAAAGTGACCATGAGGACGACGATGGAGCATGCACACCTAAATAATGCCTATTCACTCTCGCCGTGAAAAGGCCCAAGTTATAACGTTCAGAGAACAAGTCTGCAGGCAGGGAATTCCGCTCCAGAGCCGTTCGCCATATAAAGGTGGGGCTATGAGGGTGTAGCGTTATTGTTATATTAAATATGAATACTTTTAATTATGGATATTTTTGAAGAAACGCATTACCAGAACGTTTAATTTGAAAAAAGAATTACTTCAATCGTCTTTTGTTTAAACTCTCTGGTTTACGTGGCCAGTGGTTAATATGAACGCTCGGACGTTGTTATGACGCGCTAATGCATTTTAAGGACTAGACTAATCTACTGTTGAAAAATTAAACAAACAGAAAGAATACTTTCATCACACTTCCACAAAAAATGAATCATGCGAATGCGAATGCGACCTGTTCGTAGGATCGGAGGGAGCGGAATTCTTCTTACCCTCATTTTTGTGTTTATTAGGCAATATGACATGTAATAGGTTTATGCGACACCGTTTTATGTATTTATTACCGACTTCAAAAATGAAGAAGGTTAATTCGACTGTATTTTTTGTTTGTTACGTGAATATTCTTTTTTTGTTGGAAAGACCCACCTATGGGTGGCTAACTAGGGGATGAATCCGGTTTTGCGCACTTTCCGGTAATTGATTTGAATAAAACTTGTCAAATATATGTAATTCCGCGAACTTTTGAGGTCGTTTTTTTCTATAAAAAATTATGATTTACTTAACATAAGCGATGCATGTTATACATACTCCTATTATACTTTCGATGTCTTCTCTACTAACAATATTTAAATTACATTTAAACAACAAGTACACCAGATGTCCGGTTTAAACAAAAAATTAACAAAAGCCTTCCTGCATTTTATCATAGGTTGTTATTGCAATACCTTTCAGTTAACTGTGAAGGATAACCTTCTTGAGCCTAGGTTTCGTTATGAACACTTAAGAATTGAGAAAAAATAACTGACAACTATTGCAGAGATTACAAATCAACTAAAGGATAGACATGGAACTATTTTTTCGGATCTAAATCGTGTGTATTTATTAGGCCTAAGAAACAAACTTTTCGGGCTCATTACAGGTTCTATTATTATATATAGCCACTGTTGACATGGACACGACCATACCGACCTAAGAGCCAAAATGTCGACCACAAAAAAAGACTATGTTAAAAATGTGTAACAACAACAAAAACCTAAAAAAATGGATTGATCCAAAGAAGTATTTTTGCGTCAGTTTTGTTAACTGTAGATTTTGAGGTTTAAAACTACAGTGAATCAAAAACTTAACACTAAAGATTATTATCATTTTATGTTCATAACAGTTCGAGTGTCATTCAATACCCTAAATAACAAAGATCTGAGAGGCACTGCCACGTTGAAAAGTGCCATGTGCCTGTAATTTGACCAGCACCCTTCAAAACCAAAACACAGCAATGCTCACAAATTCCTTGGCGGCAGAAATAGGTAAGATAGCAGTATTTTCCTGGACGAACTCTATAACAAGTACGAATGTACTTGGATTTCAAAAATCCATTGTAGTGACCGTTTAACTCTTGCAGGTTGTCTTGGTCCATCATATTTGAAATAAACATTGTAAATGACAAATGTATACAAATCTTTATTTACAAAAAGCAACGCTAGAGTTTCTTCGTCATTCTTCTCAGGGAATCTGCTATACCAATGGGTAATTGAGTTTAATTAAAGGGATCGATTTCGAGTGTAATTTGCTTACGTATGAAATAAAAATTATTTGAGTTTGATTATTTCTAAGATTATAAAAATGGCATTGGAAGTGTAGATAAAAATAGAAAGAAAAATCTCTATAGACTCATCAATATTAACGTTTCGCCGTAGATAAATTTTGCAAAAGGAAATGAAACCACTTGTTCTAAGAATCTGGTTGCTGTTTATCTTTAGTTGTAAATACAAGGTTGGCCTTGCAGAAGGTAGAGATCAGTTTCTTATACTAATTTGAAAACTAAGCCCGCACAGATCGACCGAGTTTTTGCATGTAGCTGTAATTTAATCGACCGATTCGAGATGCGCACGAGTGATTCAGATTGAGATCTTTTTAAAACGTCTAATCTTACACGTATTCGAGGCTTAAAAACTAAAGTACATTTGAGAGATGGTGAAAATTTTGATATCAATATTCTTGAACTTAGTCTTATCGTCACCGATTACCAAAAGCTGTCAGATACTTTAACCGAATAATAAGCTTAGCTATTGAAAAGAGAAACGTAACCAATAGTGCACTGAAAGAAATTTTGTATCTTGAAATCTTTCAGCATTATTTTTTTCAATATGAAACTTATTTATCGTTGTAAACAAACAAATAAAACATAACAAAAATAAAGAAATTAACTCAACGGAAATATAAGAATTCGATGTCAGCGATAAGTTCTCGAAGGACACAAATATTGTACATTAATTAGCATATCAATTTTGAGTATTTCGGGTCAAATAAACTATTTTAAAATGATTATAAAATAATTTAATGTCTTATGAATATATACACGGCCTTTAACCTTATTTTAATAAACTAGGAAATTGAATTAACGTTTTAATTAATACCTCAATAAATTACGAAATGAATGACACAAGGAGCGGAATTCAAAATCTTAACTCTTTTATTCGGCAACGAGTGGCCTACTAAAACGGACCTCAAAACGATTCAAAACTACTTTATTTCCTAACAATGGACGACTACAGTTATGAAATAAAACTGAACATTTAACTGAACTATCACAAATCTGATATTTAATTGTATCCGATACCGGGGCCGGAGTAAAAAGTAATAAACGCTCCGAGGTCCACCAGATTAAGCAAAGTTCAACGCTCACTGTTAGAGAATAATTTCTCTACAAACAAAAATAGAAGAAAACCACATTAGTTCGGTGTCGAGAGCGAATTTGACAAAGTAAAAAATAACAAAGTTAGCGGCACAACTTTTTTACAAGCACAAAAGAGCTCAATAGTCGTTTTTCGATCGGTTTTTGCACATCTGTTTGGTTCCACCGTACACATGGCACTTTCGATTGATGTTAAACAGTCGAGGCCACCAGATCATCTGAATATGCAAAAGTTTTTGCTAGTAGTGCAGTCTCAGAATCTTACACGATTTCTTATCGAATTTCTACTACTAGGTCAAATTATATAAATCAACAAATAGATTTTTTATTTAAATGAATAAATAGTTTTAAACCAAATAGATTTGAAATAGATTAATGTTAAGACAGACTTGATGCCATAGCTAAGATAACGGTTTAAAATATTCAGAAAGTAAAATTGTTACTCATTGCTTGGATTGTAATAAAAATGTTGACTTCGCCATCCGATATAAATCAATCGCAAGTGAACATGATGCTGATAAATAAAACAAGTGTACTTAAACAAAAACAGCAATTGTTTGCTGACCGACATACTTTTTATAAGATGCCAAATTAAGTGGTTTATTGGAAATTATTAGTTCACGTTTTACATTGACAAGGGCAAGGACTGTTTCAACAATCGTGCCTAAGTAACTGTGACTAATGTCCGAATTCTCCCCAGTTGCGTATTTTAAGATTTTAATTATTTTTCTTGTAACAATTAAATTGGCTTTTAAATCATTAACAGTCGAAACAGGTTTTCTGAGAAATTCGTCACCAGCTTTATCAATTTCGCTTTATTACTTACTGAAACTGTCAAAAGCACGTTTACTGAGCCGACCTCAACAAGGTGTTCTTGACTTAGAGTCCAGCCTTCCTTAAATGGGATCTTAAAAATCCAGTCACTTACACTGAACACTGCACTCTGAAAATCAAGTTAGCACTTCACGAAAGTCCTGCGTCAGCCGGGAACCTGTTTCTAGATTCCGGTTTGAAGAAAGGTCACTTTCCACGTTTTGGGTTCGGGAGATTAGACAGTTCCAGTTCAACAATGTTCGGGTTGAAAGGAAAGTCTTTTGAAAGTTTCGTGTGTAAACTTTTTTCGCGATGTGTCGGTCGGCGGCGCGCGCCGGCGTACGGGCGTCGCTGGCGGCGGCACGGGGCAGACTGGCGCGCTCTGCACTATGGTAATTTTAGCAGTGTGCACTCGAAGCCTCCACATCGCCACACTATTGCTTGTATGTGTTGGACTCTTGCAGATTCCCTTACCATGATATTCTCGCGATAAACTGCGATCACTCACACTATTTCCATTGCCGCAAGACTACTTTCCAAATTAATAGTACCAAGAACTTGCGTGGCAATGGATTTAAAATATTTGTTGTCATGACATGTGAAAAGTGCAATAGGGCGAGGCATCAGGTTCTGGAGCTTTGCTCATTTATTGTTATGGCCTGCAGTCGGGTGCATAGTTTTATGAAATTGGCTTTTTGTTCTTGCCGTCTGGTCCCTAAGGAGAGGTTTAAATACTGTTTATGGGGGTCGCTGAACTTGAACGTGATTCGCGGCTCTATTAACATTTAGTTTTGCACACATAATTTGTATTTAATTTTTATTATATAATTCTTTGATTTCTTATTCTCTTTTTACTGTGCGTTCTCGTACAGTTGTCTGATGTAGGTTTGTAGGGATTTTAAAATTATGTCATATTTATACCACATGAGATTCATCAACAAGTTCGGTGTTTTTCTCATACTGTTTGCTGTCTGGCAAGTTATAACTTTTGTCTCATCATCATCAGCTTGTCTCAGTCCACTACTGGAAATTGGCCTCCTCAATCCGCGCCATTTCTTCCGGTCCTCACCTCGTCTTATTCATAACTTTTGTCTGTCTAGATTTTATTTGAACACAAAATTTTTCTTCTCCCTAATGCTAATTTGGGCGTCAAAGTCCATTTTTATTTAGAAAATTTCATATGTAGGTACTCTTGATAAAATAGACGATTATGTCGCAAACCCCTTGCTTTTTTATATATTTTTACAAAGTTTTTGGTTTGTTTATTTTTGCTTGTCAGAGATATGTCATGTAAAGTATATTTTATGATGTTTCTCATTATAAGTATTTCTTCACTCCTTTTCTGTCTTTTTTCATCAGTTCATAGTGTCAATTTCACATTATTATAAAGATACATATGTGAAAGTGACATTACAAGAAAATTTATTATACATACGAAAATTACATCTATGATATAACTCAATCCACTTGAGACATTAATTTCAAAGTTTATTTGCATTCTTATTTCGAAGTAATGGAGTCTTTTTGAACCCTCTATAGTTTCCAAGCTCCCAGTCTAATCCATGACTAAGATATCATAAATTAGATTAGGAGCTTGGATATTTTGTGACTTGGCAATCGCGCCACACACTTATGCATTGTGCTTCTAGACTATTTATGTTTTTAATTTATGTATTCATGTAAATTGAAACACGTTATCATGTTATGTTTTAACAACGAATGCTGTTACTAAGATAAATATAAATCTTCGAGTTTCTGCTTATTGTTTCTTTTTATACCAAATGACTGACGGGGTGAACAAGACGTGGGCCTGATGTAAGCGACACGCCTGTTCATAACAGTTGCAATGTCCGACTCAAAAGTCCCACGTGCCTGTAATTTCACCACTTGCTTTTTGTTTTTTATGTTTATATACATGTAAACATTTTATGATACCACTAAAACGGATGATATATTTTACCAACTATTTAAAATATTAGTGTACAAAGGCGAGCTTATCCCATAAAGGGATTTCTTCCAACTAACCTTTTTTTATCCATAAACCTCCGACCAGCGTCTTGGACCTCCGAGGAGGCACAAACATAAGTAGCTTGTTTGATGAATAGTCAGGGGTAAAAAGAACGTCTAGAGAGTACCAAGACTTGACTTCATTTGTTATACTTAATATAACTTGTCCAGTAACAAAATTCGCACTCGGATTAGTATAGTGAGTCACGTGAAGTGATTCACTGTTAGAATGTATATAAATTGAGAACTAACAACTCGGCCAGGATCACTGACAGGTTTCGATGTCTTTGTTTATTTGTTACTGATTTTTTTTTTGATGCACGAAGCCCCTACATATTAAACTTTATAGGAGTTGTAGGTATACTTGAAAAGAGGATTTCAAAAGCAATGAAAGAAAGGACACTTACGTTGTAAACTTCCGGAAAACAGTCACATTCTTTTTTTGAAAATTTGGAATGAATTATGGCGGTGGTCGCCCAGTACTAAGATGGTTGCTTCGCAAGGGTCGACGGTTAGGATCTCGGTCGTGGCTTGTGGCTTTAATTTGAAACGTTACCTAAATATATCTGCGAATGTTTAGTAGAAATACCTTTACTAATTTATAAATTTAATCATCCACTTTCAACTTTTCGCGGATACTGTCGCGAATGGCTCTTACAGTGCAGCCTCTTGCACTTGTATTAGAGTGATACTGATAGGATTTATTATGCTAAGTTTCCATATTCTAAAATAAAATACCTTAATTACAATACCTAATTTGAGACTCGACGTCCCAAAATAAAGATTTAGTTACAATACTTTAACAAGGTTATTTATTATAATTATTAATATAAAGATCGAACACTCAGAAAATATTCCTTCGATCTGGCTGGATTCGAACCGACCGACGTCTTCTGGCATACCGTGCCAGACGCTATACCAACTAAGCCACGCAACGAACCAGGGGACATCACGAATTTTTCTATGCGCTTGTTTGTCGTGTCACCCTTTTGACGCCAAGCAGTAATGTGAGCATTACTATGTTCCGGTTTTGAAGGTAAGTGTGTTAGTGAAATTACAGGCACATAGGACTTGTCAAATTATGTCTCAGGGTAGCAGGTGCAGTGGGAGTGTCCCTCAGATCTTTGCGATTTAAAGCTCTGAATGGTACTGCAACTGTTATGAACAGGCGTGTAGCTTACCAACAGGCACACGACTTATTCGTCCCGTCACTTGATATTATAAATAAAGTTTAGGGCACACACGGCACTACGCGAGATGGGCCATCGTTTAAATCGCACCTCATAAACAATCCAGGGTAGAACTATCCGAAGATCACCACCTGAGCAAATTGTCCTTACTTCGACCAGCTTGAGTCCGTAGCCTGTTTAAAGACTTCCAGATCGGCCACGGCAATTCTTGTCCAGGAAGAAGATTCTCAGAAGGCGGGACAAAAGTAGATGGTACTCTTTCGCACCAAAGGGTGCTCCTCGCCTGGCCCAGTGCTTAGAGGACCGATTATGAATTAATTGTGCATAAGGTGCCAACACTCGAAAGCCATTTAGGCTCTTTCGCAACCCGCATTAAGTGTCGATACAATCTCTAATGGCTTTGGTTGATTCTACATAACAGTGAAAGTATGGAATCAAAACTTTTTGGAAAAAACATTAACACGATTCTTAAAAATTTTCACGATAGAAAGAAAAACACAAACTTACCTGCATTCAGTAGGTACTTTACACATACAAATTATTTAGGTCAGTTGACATAATATTTTATGTCAACTGACCTAAATTGGACATTTATAAGTAGTATACGATATACATTTCTCAAATGGTTTTAATTTCGTTTGTAGAAAATTTTGAAATAAAGCCAGTGTATAAAAATGATTCAGTAAGGAAAATCTTAATTCGAGCTCAGTATTATCGACTCATAATAATAATATAGCAGACAACTAGGTACACCAATTGCCTAGTCTCAAACTAGGGAGTCGTAATGTACTATAAGTACCAGAGCAACGAAACTCACTCCGGGACACAACGAGAATACTTGAACCAAATTAGAATGTTCATTGCCTTAGGCTTACGGGAATCGAACCCGAGAACTCCTCATTTTGCGCTCACAAATTTAACCTCTGGACTACCGAGATCGTTATTAAGTCAGCGATATATAGAGTTAAACCCTCCTTAACCCTGGATTGGAGATGTTGTTGTTGTTTGTTATTGAATAGTTGACGAGCAATAAAATCGGACAGCTATCAGGAAAATTGGCCCCTTTATTTGAATTTTACAACTTTGTTTATTTTTACAACTCTAATTAATATTTATTGATGCATTAAACACTTTAAATCCGAGAAATGACAGTCCGAAATGTCACAGGGATCATTTTATCTTTAGGTGTACAAGCGATATTTGTGTTTTCTCGCATTCGAATAGGACTTAGTGCACAAGCGACATCCGAAGGGGGTCCGAGTTTTCTAGATTTGTATGGTCTCGGATTCGGAAAGAATACGAATCGGATGTAGTCCACAAATGCGCTTATATCACATTCGAATAAAGCCACATATGATCATGCTTTGATAGAGCTTTTATTATTTAAAAGTCGTAACAACAATACGAACTACATGTAACAAATTATGCACATATGAAATTTCTTCAATTTATGCACAAATAGTTCAAAACTTCTCTCACGAAGAGTTGTGATTTTAATATGACCTTATCTTTTTTTTTTTTTTTAAATAGCGCACACACTCAACATAGCCCCGCACTAGGGAAACCCTGTGTCGCGGGTGCCATGGACACACACATAGACAACCACAAATTACACCCACACTCACGAGAGAAATAAATGTAAGCCATACAAACATTTCTCCCGGCCCGGGAATCGAACCTGGGGCCTCTGCGTGGCAGTCCGGCATGGTAACCGTTCGGCCACGGAGGCAGTTATCACAACAAGGATGCGAATTTTTGCATTAATACTCAAGTTATATCAACCTTTGGAATGGTTGCTAGTCTATGTAAATTGTATGATTTTTTTCGGGTGAATTAAGTGACGGCATTTTTAATACTTCAACTTTATTTTAGAAGATTTCTCAGAAGAGGTTTTCAAGATTATAGCGTCACCCTTATAATTTAAATTATTGCTTTTATTTTCAAAATCTTTATCTGCTAAAGTAATTACGTACACCTTTTTTATGATATCAAGTGACTATCTTAGGGGCACTGCCCCGTCATCCTGAGACATAAGTTGATGAGTGCCATGTTCCTGTTATTTCACCAGCACACCTACCCTGGCTAACCGGAACGCAGTAATGCTCACATAGCTGCTTGGCGGCAGAAATAGTTAAAGTGACAGTACTGGACGAACTCTTTTACAAGGAGCTCTGCTGTTACTAAATTTGTCTGATGCGTTTATTTCTTATGTCTGCTCTAGAGATGGAAGGGTGAGATCCTATGGTGCTCTACAAACAGAAGTTAATCCTAGTATGGACACCAGACTTTCCATTACCATAGGTAGGGTACAATAAAGCAGTGACGAGGCGTTCATATAACTCGATTTTTACCGGCTTGTCTTAAATTTTCCACGTATTATAAAATACTATATTTTGTGCTAAATTTTAAGTAAAGAATAAGTTAACCAGTGAAATTAAGTGTACTAGTACCTTGTATGCTAATAAGTTGTGTTTAAGGGTCGTATTCCAGAACTCTACTCAATGGTCAAATCAGGACTTGAG